CACAGACATTTCCTGTGCCCTAGAAGGTCCCTAGCAGCACACCCTGCTGGACAGAGGCGCTCTGTCGTAGGCACCTGTACAGCCTTGTGACACGCTGCACATTCGTAATAACTCTGTGCTCTCTCACTTTCCTCAAAGGGTCCAAAGTTCCTGTGACTCAGGCCACCCCCAGCTGAGGGTCACACCAAAACCCTTGTGAATTGCCAACCCAGAATCCCAGGGGCCTGTACCCTCTTTGATTGGTATCCGTTATGAGTAGAACTGTGCGGAATGACCTCCCTTTAGAACACCTAGCTTCACATCTATCACCTACCCCTCTCCCCACAGGAAAAGCATGAGGGGGGTTTTCAGAGAGGTGAGAACGACTTCACTGCCACAGAGGGAAGCTCCATTGTGGGAGCCAGAGATGCTGTGCCACTAAGGATGGCATCAACCTGGCCTTGGGCTGTGAGTGCAAATTAGCATGGCAAGACAGAGGCAGGGAGCCGGGGTCCCCAGTCTTTCGGGGGGGCAGAGCCAGGTGAGCCACTTGGGAAGCCACCTTCCCGAACAGACCCCAGTGCTCATGCAGAAAAGGGCACAAGTATGGCCCAGCTCCTGAAGTTCCAACACAGAGTGGCCCAAAGGCACAGAGATGAAGTCCTTTATTGTACTGAAAGGGAAAGAGAAGGGTCCCCTTTTTCTGGAACGCCTATAGTGTGGGTGATACCAGGAGCAGTCAGGGTCTCGCCTTTCCCCCACAGACACAAGGCAGAGCACTGCGGCTGGGCTGCAAGTTGGAAGGATGGGAAGCCAACTATGGGCCAACGGGGAGAGCATGGCGAAGCAACCAGACCAACCGCGCCCACCTTCACCCTCACGGCGCCCTGGCAGACAGGCAGATGGAGGGCCACTGTCCCGTTGGTGGGTGATGGCATCGAACTCTCCTTGTGTGATTGTTTTCTTCATCGTGTTCAGATCAAGGAGACCATGTTCAAGGGTCCAGGTCAAGCAAAACTCTGGGGATCGGCTCCGAGCCCGGGACACAGGGCACGAGGAAGCCACAGAGAGCTGACCCGGAATCTGGGCCGCGGGCTCCGTTTCAGCCACTTTTCACGTGAGAGTCACAGAGCACGTCTGTATTCTGTTTGTCCGGCTGCTCGTGTGGCAGAAATGTGATTGACCAAGATCACTGCCATTCTTCAAAAATAAAGGGAACATCCGGGTGCCTAGAGGGGAAGCCAGGATAGCACTGGACTCCGACTGGGGGAAGTGATTGTCAGAGTGGGGTTCCAGGAACCCAAGAGTTGAGCCCCCCCTTACGCTGTAGTCTAGATCTTGGATACCTCCCAAGGGCTCATGTGTTAAAGTCTTCAGTGCCAGTGGGAGGTCCTCAGTTCACTGGGGCACGGACATGAAGACAACTGTGGAAGCCCGGCTCCTTCCTCTTCTCTTTTACTTTAGGGCCATAAGGTGAGCGATTCTGCTCCACCACGCACTTCTGCCCTGATGCGCTGCCTCACCACAGGTCCCAAACCGCAGGGCCAATGGGCCATGGACTGAACCGTCCACAGTTGTGAGCCAAAACCAACTTTTTATAAACAAATTACCTCAGGTATTTAGCAGCAGCGACAAAAGCTGCCCAACAGGCCCTTCCACAAAACTTTTCCTGGGTGGGCTTTGGGCGTGACTTCCTGACCAATCCAGAGTGTCCCACATATGCCACAGGAGAGCACGCTCACAGCCCTGGCAGCCGGGTGCTGTACTTGTGTCTTGACGCCAGCGGGGAAATACACTACCACCATGCAAAATGCACCGTGCTTGAGGTCCCATAGCCTGGACTGCCCTGGGTGGAGGACAGCGCAGGGCCTGTCTCGAGGAGGAGGGCAGCTCTGGGTCACAATCCAGGCCACAGGAATAGAGGCAGGGTTCTGAGCTGAGCTCTTGATCCCCAGTCCTTTGCTCCTTCAGTCTAAACTGAAACCGCATTTGGCTTTTCTTCCACAAGTATGGGGTGGGGGGGCTGGGGATTTAGTTCAGTGGCACAGCATCTGCCTGGCAAGCCCAAGGTCGTGAGTTCAATTCCTGGTACCGGAAAAAAAACAAACAAGTATGGGGTGGGGATGACCAGGCCAAAAGCAGAAACACCTGGTACCACCCCTTGGAGCAGCACAATTCCCAAGGGCTGAGACGCAAACTCCTAAGGAAAAAGAGACATCTCTGCCTCAGAAGGAGGAGAGGACAGCATGAGGGCACATCCTCTGGGCTGCTGGAGGATAAAAAGTTGAAAAGTTTTGCAAAACCTGTGAGGAGGCAGACTTAGGATCAAAGCTGAAGAGAGCCAGGTGGGAGTGGGCTGGACAGGGAGCTGGGGACAGGGGTTCTGGTGGCTTTGGTTGGGAGGACCCTTATTCCCGCCGTCCTTTCTCCTGGACTGGGTACTGCAAAGCGAGGCTGGACTGGGGGCTTCTGCGTGGATCCCACGCATGGCCTACCTGCGTGTTTCTGGTAATCAGGGTTTTGGTGCAGGCCTGGAGCCCAGAAATCCTGGCCATCAGCAAAAGTTCTGCACTTCTAGGCACAGTTTTTGAAATTAGTTTATGAGGGCCCTCCTGTGGGGGTGAGGAAACTGAGGCAGGTAGAGGAAGAGGGGTTTAATGAAAGCTACAATTCCCAACAGGGGACGCTGGACCTTCACTGAACGTGAACCAGTGGCATTGAATTAGGAAGGGAGCTCAGGGCTGTGGCATGATCCGGTTCCATATGAAGCAAAAATGATTCAAAGGAATGAATGTTAACCATACTCCTACCCCACCCAAACTTTCCCTAAATAGGGGCACCGGAGGCTTCCCTGGGCGCTCACAGTGAGGCAGGAGGGGTGACAGGTCCTGAACAACCCTATTTCAGCAAGTGCCTCAGGCATTCTAGGCTTGGAAAGCTCCTGAGGCCCAGGCCGCAGGGGTGTGACTCTACCGGCCTGGTCACTCCGCACACTTCTGAGAAGACCAGTGTGACTTTGGAGATCCCTCAGTTCCTCTGCGGGAGTGGTCTTGCTTTTGTGTAATCCAAGGCCCCTTCAGGGCCCATCAGAGCTTTGGGTCCAGAGGTTTGCAGAACTGACCTCTGCTGGCAGGGTTAGGTCCTGTCCTTCGCACACCTAGTCCTCTACACAGAGGAAACTGAGGCAGAGAAGAGAGAGGACTCACGCGCGTGGTGTCACTCATTTCCACTGCCCACCGGGACCACTGTGGCTTCCAGACCTCCTCAGGCAGGCCGCATGAGGGCGGCTCCTGGGTCACCCTGGTGAACCCTTCAGAAGACGCATTTCCACAAGGGGAAGTTCAATTAGAAGCAATTATCTGGGTAATTCACCCAATCATTTCTGCACTCCGATCCCTGACCACACTGAGTTTCCTCCTGGGTGCCCTGCCCGCACGCACTGACCAGTTCCTCACCAGGGTGCTGGTTTAGTCTCTTTGCCCAAAGCCCCGCGTCCCCAGGCGATCCGGAGCTGGACAGGGTCCGGCCGGAGTGCGACAAGGCCCGGGGCCCAGGGAGGGCGCCCGAGCAGGCGCTGTCCCTGCGGCAGAGGGGGCAGGCGCCTCCCCCTCCCTGGCGGCTCCAGCACACGGCCGCCCCGGGCTCGGCTCCCAGTCGCCTGCCACAGGCCCGCCGGGCACACGCCTGGGGCGGGATGGAGGCTGCGCCAAGGCGGCCGGGTCGCCAGGAGGACCAACCCAGGAAGCTCGCAGCCCGCTCCATCGCCGCCCGCAGCTCCCTTCTCCTAGGCCGGGGGTGGGGGAGGAGTACAGCACAGCCTCTCCAGGCGCCCCAGGCAGTCCGGAAATTACGGGGGGGGGCTACAGTGGGGAACCCGAGGTCACCCGGGGGAGGGCGGGGGCATCCCACCGCGAGGATCTCACCCACCCCTCCACGCCCTTCTCGCTCTCCACGCTTGCTCAGCGGTGGGGCGCACATCCTAATTTTTAGAGCTGGGTGGGACAGAGGAGGACATTTAAAGCAACCGGATGTGGGTGCAGAGCGGGAAACAGAGGCACAGAGCTAGCAACGACCTCGAACCGCAGGGGTGGCTAGAGGACCCGCCGGAACTAGAACTCAAGTCTTCACCCAGCCCAAGCTTTTCCCACTGTCCGGACCGAGCTGCCCCCCTCGTATTCTCAAACTTAAATCATAAATTAAGTTCCTCTCTGAAGAACCCCCAAAGAATAAAAGCGGGCGGAAGAAAACAACAACAAACAGAGCCCCGGCCCTTTCTCCTTCACTCGGCTCCCGGGTGCCCCGGGCCACTTTTTCTGCCCAAACCTCCCCTGCATTTTGCTCCAAGTGCTTAGGGGACTCAGAGAGCGCCTCACCCCCAGATTTCCACCCACACACCCCAATGATCAGGCCCGTCCACCCCTCCTGCGAGGCCAGCCCCCCCTTCCCGGAGCCACCCCCGGCCGCAGCCCGCCCCGAGCGCGCCGCCTGTTTATTCAGCCGGGAGCCCGGCACGCGCCAGGCGCACGCACTGCGACAACAAACCCGGCTGAATGGAGTTTGCACGGAGCGGGCGCGGGGACCGGGCGGGAGGGGCGGAGG